AAAAAAAAATGAAAAACAAAATACTTAATTTTCAAAAAATTGAATCTAGAGTGAAAGCAAGCACAGTTATTACTTTGCTCAATTTAATTTCGTTATCAAAATTTTATTTTTAAAAATTAGTTTCATAAAAATAAATATCAAAAATGTTTTTAAAATTTCAAAAATTATTTTTATACAAAAAAGGAATAGAAAAGAAAAGAACGACTGTTTTTAAAATTTTAATTATTTTTTTACCAAATTAATGTGTAGAGTTTGTCATAAAACAAATTTTAAAAATGAAAAACAGATTTCCTAAAGCAAGATTCCTGTATTCCTTTTTTTTTACCGTACGCATGTTTATAGAGATATATCAGTGTCGATCACATACGCAAACAAAGCCAATGTGGTCCTAAACCTATCTTACTACCCCAAATATATCTTTCACTTTCTTTTGAGAATTCAAAGTAGAATGTGAACATATGGTTGTCCATATTTGTGTTGATGGAAGATGATGACTTTGAATGATATTGTGGCAAAGGAAAACAAGCTACTGTGGTCCTAAAACTAAATCTCATTATCACTATTTAAGAAGGCAACGTCGTCATTTAATAAGGGTAAATTACATTTTGTTTGTTTTAAATTTGGTCGTTTCTCATTTTGACTTTTACAAGTTTGTTTAATGTTTTAAGTTTTTTTCATTTTAACCCTAAAACTAACTTTTGTTCAAAAACTGTCACATAATATAAAAAATATATTATTATATTAGAATTTAAGTTCATGTTAGAAGTGTGAGTTATATATAATAAAATATTTTTATGTCATGTAACTGTCAATGTGCCATTTTTTGTCTAATTTTTATTAGAAATTAACTTTAGGAGTAAAGTGAAAAAAATTTAAAATATGATAGGTCAAAATGGGAAAAAGTAAATTTAAAGAGCCAAAATAAAGAGTGGTGCTATTAGCACCCCAAGAATTAATTTGGATACCCTATTTCTTTGACCCGCATTTATAATTTTTAAAACCCTAAAAATGTCTTTACACCCTTCAAATAATATCAAAATTATCCTTAAACATTACACCCAATTAAATGGACACCCCCACACCACCACCCCCCCAAAAAAAACTCTGTTAAAAAAAAAAGCCTAACATTTTCAAACCCACGAACAAGAAGAACAAGAAGGAGAAGTGTAACTTTGACTCTGGTATACTCTATCTCTCTATCTCTATCTCTCTCTCTCACATCTCATCTGATTGTGGCCAGAAAGATAGATCTCCGGCGTGTTTATTCTTTTAGCCAAAAAGACAGACCTCAGTTGCATCTACGACACTGGAGCCCATGTTAAGCACCTGTTCGAGCCTGTACTCCCGAACATTACTTATTTGTTCGGAAGACGTTACCGAACAAATAAGTAATGTTCGGGCTTGTATTCTCGAATATGAACAAATACAAACTTCTAGGAGCCTTAACAATTTTGACAGTTGAAAATATTAAGAAATCTCTATGTTCGGGTCTGTACTCCCGAACATTACTTATTTGTTCGGGAACATCTTACCGAACAAATAAATAATGTTCGGACCTGTATTTCCGAACATGAAAAAATGCAAACTTCTGGGAAGTCGCCATGTTAACGTCAAAATATGGTTGCCAAAGGGTTTTCAATATTTTGAGAGTAAGTTTTGAAAGTGGGATTTGAGAAAGATGAATGAGTGGTGATGGAGGTAGGAATTCACATAAACCATAATTCATGATATAGGTTTAGGGATTGTTTGGGATGACTTAAATAAGTGTATTTTTTATCTTTTTATAAAAAGATGTGCAGAAAAGTAGAGAGATGATGTGATGAAAAAAAGATAAAAAGATAAAAAGTGTGTACTTATTTAGGATAGCCAAACTTGGCTTAATATTATCTTAATTATTTTTACTAAAAATTAATATATAAAAATGTAAAATAATATTTTTTTTATAATTGTTTATTATTTATTATTTTTGTAATTGTAATATCTATATTTTTTTTTATATTTATAAATTTTAATATATTTATGATATAATTATGACATTATGATTCAATTTCAATGAATAAGTGACTGATCCGCCCGGTCACTTTGGAGGTATTTAGTATAGATTATTTTGGCCAACTTATAGATTCTAGTTTTGGAAAATCTATTTTAGACTGTTTAGTTAGATTTATTTTAAATAGTTTTTAATTTTAGTAACTTATTTTAACTCAAAAAAATTAATTCGAAGAAACTGTACACCCATACTTTTAATTATCAGTTTTTACTATAGATATATTAATTTACGATTATACCCTTAGTATTTAAAAAAAAAATAGAAAAAGATCCAAATAGACTATGGATTAATTATTTATTTTTTATGAAAAATGTGCACTAATAGTAAATAATAAAAAATAAAAATTAATTCAATTTACAACTAACAAAGATTAATTTAATTTACAATTAACAATAATAAAAATGATATTTACACATTAAAAAATTATTTCACAACTTATTTATAAAACACTACTCAACAACTTAAATTTATTCTAAAACTATAATTTAGCCTTGTTTGGGAATATGTTATTTTAATAACTTTTCGATTTTTTACAAAAAAATATATATAAAAAATAAAATAGAGAAAGTGATGTGACAATACTTTTTAACTTTTTAGCTAAAATATATAATTAATAAATAAAATCTTCAGACCATCTCCAACCATGTATCAAACTCAATATCAAATTTGAATTTGATAAAAAAGGGGTCCTTTTTCAACTCCAACGATTTCATCAAATCAGTATCAAATCAAGGATTTCACATTTTTTTCATTAAACTGAGGACCAACTTTTCTTTTATCAAATCACTGTTCATTACCATTGCCCACTATCCCCTGGATGTCCTTTCGGATACCACCTCAAGACAAAAAAAAAAAAGTGAAAAAAATTATATTGGCTGGTCGACCACCTTAAGGCAAAAAAAGAAAAAATGAAACATTTACACTGACCGATCAACCGGCCGAACATCTGTTTAATCATCCTCATAATTGACCGGTGGTCTGATAAAGCTCCAAAATCTTTCTTAAGAACACTTAGGCCAAGTTTGGCAATTCAAGAATAATCCATCTTTTTATCTTTTTATCTTTTTTCTATCACATCACCTCTCTACTTTTCTGCACATCTTTTAATAAAAAGATAAAAAAAATACACTTATTTAGATCATCTCAAACAATCCTTTAATATCAAAGAAACCTTTTATTCAAATTTATACTCAAATTTAATAAAAAAAATTAATATATCATTGAAAATATTCTTATAAATTATTAAGTTATAATCTATAATTTATTTTACCAGCCCAACCAAACAACTTTTACGATTACTCCCCAGTGGGATTTTCAAAACATTGGATCAAAACCATCCATCCAGAGTGTTGAAGACTGACCAAGCAAGGGTTAACGTTGAGATTTCGCTGCCAAATTATACTGCTTCGCCAGTGGTTCCGCGAATGATGTTGCCAATTTCATGTTTGTTGTCACTTCCCCAACTCCACTATCCCTATCGCAGATGTTTTCACGGTTTCAAATTAGCTGATTTTTGGCCACTTTGCGATTCGATCAAGTTCTGAACAACCTTGAAACCCTCACAACTTCTAAACTGAAGATTCAGAAGAACACTTACAGACTTCAAATCGTTGCACAAATGGAGTAAAACAACTCTCTCTCTCTCTCTCTCTCTCTCTCTCTCTCTCTAATATATATATGTATATATATACGTGTGTGTATGTATGTTGTAAGCTCATTTTGAGCATTAGGTTTTGAAACACAACTGATTAATGTAATTGCTGGTGGGATTGTGGCTATTAGAAGAATCGATTACTATAATTTTCTCATGCTTGGGCAACTATGTGGTTTTGTTTTTAACCAAAATGGTGTGATTTAATGAGTTCATTTGAGATGTTCAACAAAATTTCAAACAAGACCGGAAGAAATTTCAAAGTTGGCTTTTTTTTTTTTTCTTCACGAGATTAGCATACCCAAGTTGATGAATTTGATGAGAATAAATATATATAACAAGTATATAAAATTATATGTTTTGCATGTGTCTATTTTTTCATTTTTTGAAAATTTACGGGTCTGCTGCAGTATCTGTCTTTAAGACCCGAGAAACAAACAAGAATTTATTTTTTGAAAAATTATAAAATAATATATAAGTAAATTAGGTAGAACGTAATTGTTTTAAATTGAAGAATTGGTATCAAATATGGATTATGTATTTACTATTATGCTTAGAGCTGCTGCATTGTTTCCTCCATGTTTCCCCCTAAAATGGTTGAACACAATCTTCCCTGCTCTTTCCATCCATTCCACTGATGCTTCACCGGGAAATAGCGTAAACGGTGTTTTGACTTCTTTTATTCATTACATGTCTATTGGGAGTCAGCTACTCTGAGCAGAGATGTTCTTGCGGAGAAAACTCAGAAAATTGTTGGTATTTTGCAATTCTGTAAAGTCTTGAGGACTGTAGCTGAAAATATGTACATTCTCCAAATTGTTGCACGGATGCTGTAAAACAACCCTCTCTCTCCCTCTGCCACACACACGCAACATTCATTGTATACACAGGTATGTTACTCGTATCTTCTAAGAAAATCTGCTGTGAAAAGAGGGGGACCTTTTCAGTTAAGCTTGCCTTTCTTAAATTGGAAGTATATTTAAGTAATCCTTTACCTCACATATATGCATATTGATATGTTGTCAAATGCATAAACTTTGCCCAGAAATTTAACTTCACTGTGAAACAGAGAGTACCAATTTAGCACGGCTTGCTTCTATAGAGGTGAAGCTATAATTGAGAAAACACTATGTTACTTAGAACATGGATTGTTTCGGTACATAGAATGGGAACAGGAATGTGGTACGCTACATTATCTAAAATGTAGTTTGATAAGGGTAGACTTGTTTAGATTACACTCTTAGAATTTAAGGTACTTGCAGAGTAATTTTTTTTGAAAAATTAGACATCCAATAAATGTTGCATTTTCTTTTCAAATCATGTGAGCATTATGATCCATTTTTTTACGTTTTGTCATACCAAAACTCTACTCTACTCTCCTTAGATTTTAGTTTATTATAATTTGATTTGTTTTTCTGCTAAGGTAACTTTTAAGGTTTATATTGGAAAATATTTTTGGGATGGCTTGGGATTGCCAAATTCACCGTATTGGAACAAAAGTGTACAGCATTTTGGAACATGCGTTTCAAAACGTAAATCACTAGAGTATTGGTGTTTTTTGGCAACGCAGGCTGTCCTTATCTTTGCCCACTCCCTTTAGTGATATTGTTTTGAAATGGAGAAGATTATTACAATCACTTTGATTGTGTCATTGATGAATTTATTACAGTAATTTTCTCGTACTTGACCAAAAAGGAGGTTTGTTATAACTAAATTGGTGACCATTAATGAGTAAATTTAAGATTCTGACAGATGTTAAAATACCAGACTGGAAGACATTGAATATTGCTTGTCTTACTTGACTTGTTTTTTTATCGTGGTTCAGAGCATAAACTAGTTAATTTTGAGCTCTATCGTAAATCCCAGAAACGACCAAGAAAAATTTGTGTGTTACCCAGCTACAGTGTTTCAAATAGTTTTTGTTCTCAAGCTGATGATGCTCTTACCATTACACTTTGCCTTTTACCTTGGGCGGAGTCTACTAAGCTAATCTCATACTGAAACAGCCTGTTTATAAGCAAACACTAGTTCAAGCCTTCAACCATTCTGTTTCACATCCTAGGCTGCCCCTGATTAAAGTTTCAGTGGCTGAAATGGAAAGAATGGGGGCTTCCCATGGGGGGTGTAGCAGCAGGAGATGCGATGTGAGTGGTGATCCGCAGGAAAAATGTGGAAAGTATATGCAGTACACGACTGAGCAGGTTGAAGTTCTTGAAAAAGTGTTTGCAGAGTGTCCAAACCCAACCTTCTCGCACCAGTGGGAAATGATCCGAGACCATCCAATTCTTTCCAACATTGAACCTAAGCAGATCAAAGTCTGGTTTCAGAACCACAGGTGTAGTATTTTAGTTGGATATGGTGATTAGCTCTGTTTTTGTTGCTTTTGTGTTATTGAAGTTGATTCCCACATGTTGGTTTACTAGCCTTTTACATGCAAAAAACTTTTGTGAGAAACAATTTATCAGTTCTTTTTTTAATTAATATATATATATATATATATAAATGCTTGATATTGTTGTGAATGTGTTGATTTATAAATCTTTGTCTACTTCATTTGCTGCAACTTTTAAATTCTTTCATACTTTCAGGAAAGAGAAGTAATGGATTCATGGTTTATATGTGCAATTAATGTCAATTGAAAACCTGGTTTGTAAAATTCAACAATGGTTTTTAAAGATGTTCATTCTTGTTTCATTCATACAAAGGCACATTTGCTGGTTCTTTTCCATGGATTCTGAATTTGTCCAAGGCACTCAACAATAGAGTACCAACTCTGAAAAAATTCTTCCCACACTATTATTTAAATATTATAATTTGGGGTGTTGGATTTTTGGTTATCTGAGAGCCAACCACTTGAGCATGGATATTGGCTCATTAAGTCCATCCTTGCAGACAATCCTCATACTGAGCAAGTTCTGCTTACCATTGTTTTCTTTAATCTGGTACTTTGATTTTGAGAGTTCCATTCACGGTTTGTCTTGTCAGCATTTAAAGACTAGTAGTGCAATTGAAAGAAAGACTAATTTTTCTTTTCTTTCCTTCCTTTAAGGTGCCTTGAGAAGCAGAAGAAAGAGGCTACCAACATTCAGTTAGTGAACAAGAAGTTGACTGCAGCAAACAGGCTCTTGAAGGAAGAGAATGATTGCCTTCAGAAACAGGTTTCGCATCTGGTATACGAGAATGAATACATGTGGCAGCAACTGAAAAATGTATGTTCAAATCCTTGCATGCATCGACTATTGATATTTTGGGTAATTTATTGTTAATGCTTTCATTTCCTTTTCATTTTTGTTTTTCCCCAGGATTTAATGGTTTTGAATATTACTCAGATTCCTATTTGATCTACTAAACCATATTATTGTTTATTTTTGTCCAATTCATCAACTTTTACTTTTTGAGAGTATTAGCATATAAACTGACTGGGAAACCTTTATAGATATCATACTTCCATAGGCATCTAAAATAATATATATGTTAACAAATTTTTTGTGTGTTGTTTCCTAAAATATTTTTTCCAAATACCTTTATGGAATTGATTTAGTTTTTATTTTTTTATGCAATTAAAATTATAAAATAAGAGCTGCCTGATTTGGGGAAATGACACTTCCAATACAACTCTTTTTTTCTCTTTTTTCTTTTTTTGTGCTTTTGTGGATCATGGCATGTTCATATTATTGTCTGCCACCTCATAGCTGCAGCATGAGATAAAATCATAAAATATCCACATACATGGATTTATGGACCATCCCTTATGGACACATACATGCATGGGTTAATAGATGCTAGACAACTTAGTAAGCATGATTGAATCGCCATAATTTTAAGTTCATTTTTATCAATATTCTATATATATATTGGTGCTAGTAGTCATTTGGAGTAGTTCCATTGCTTGACTAATCTGTCAATTGAGATGCAAGAAATACCTTAAAGTAAGATATGTTGGATAGTTTAAAGTCAGAATTTTTTTGAAGGTGTAGGAATTACCTTTCTTTAATAATTTATGAAGACACAATTTGTTCGAAGTTAACATGTTTAGTTTGATTACGAAGTCATAGAGATAAAACATTGTGATTCACATCCTAATATCCATGTTTGAATAAAATCCCAAAGTAATAAGCTGGCATCATACACGCTGTTCACACTTTTTGTGAATTCAATTGTCATCGTGTGATGTGATAATTTTTTTTTTTTGGTCATCATGTGATGTGATAATACTAGCATGGTTAATGCACTTTGATTAGGATTTCATATATTTTCTTTTTGTCAAAGTTTGAGAAGGACATTTTTATGGTGCCTTTTTTCTTTTTCTTTTTTTATACTGAGAATTTTGGGCTTAATTAATAAAAATCTTCTATATCTTTTGAAAAGGAAAAATTCTGTTTAATACAGAATACAACTTGAGTGTTTCACATATATATTTTCATCTAAGAGAAATGGTTTAATTGCAATAAGCAATTATAATTGGGAAACTGATCCATTCGTTGAATTTAACATATGTTTGCTTGATTTTTAACAACTTTGTTAATCACTGATCTTGCACATTTGCAAAGTAATGGCACAAAATGAATTTTCTTCAGCTAGGTTTTGAGATGAAAATCAAGAATATGTTAGTGTTGGTTGCTTCTATTATATGACACCCCTTCTTTCCAAATTGTACTATGAAATAGTACAATATTTTAGAAAAGTGAGTTAAATATATGCATGCCTTTTGAGAGTTGGCATGGTCTGTATGCTCAAGCTGTAACTCCTAAAGCAAATTTGATTTGGAGATATGGAGAATTTTTTTGAACTTTTTTTTCCTCTGATGTCAACTTGAGAAAGCAAATCCCAATTACTTGGGGTTACATGTATCCTATTTTACATGTAGCTATATATGGAGGGATATTCTCTTCCACTTCTTGATCGTCATGTTTTGCATTACCTTGTCGTCAATCTTCTTTCCTCTTGCCCTTGGTGCCTTAAATTTGAATGAAATCACTCTTCCTTTTTGTTCATCTCCAATGATCATAACTGAAATAAACCATTTCAGACAACATTTTCTTATTTTGTTCTCGATTGGCACCAGTTTTTACATCTCATAGATGCATTTCTTACTACTAAGTCTTTCTATTCCTACATCATTTTATTTTGATGAGTTGATTCCAAGTAAGCTTCATAATTCTTTTCCATTTCTATTTAATGTTGGCCATCATTCTTGTTGTACAACAGCATTCTGAGTTTATATGCTCTTTATTGTTGAAAAATTAGCTGTATGACTTGAATTTTTGTACTGTTCTCACCCCTTTCCCTTCTTTTGCAGGAGGAAATTGTTCAGTGTTGATATTTTAGTGGCTTTTTTCAAAGTGCTTTTTTAGGAAAAAGAAATTGAACTCATGCTTTATTCACACCAACTGCATAATCTTGTGAATCAATTTCAGACGAAATGCAAGACAACGACGCATTTTGTATTTTTAGAGAGATTAATGCACCCTTGATTGGAATCAGTTCCTCATGAAATTATTCCTTAGGCTTTATCACATTTTTGTTTAATCTGCTGACCATGATTTTTGATGCAGGAATCTCCAGCTACTACCGACACAAGCTGTGAGTTTGCAATCAACTCTCCTCAACACTCTTTGAGGGCTGCTAATGATCCTAAGGCATGACTCCCAAATTCTGAGATTTCTGTTGAATTAAGAACATTTAGGAGTCTTAAATAGTCAATAAGAGTTGAACCTGTTGTAAGATCTCTAAGTTTCCTTCTTTATGGTTTGTCTTCTTCTGCAATCAAGTGTAGCAAAACAAACTTGTTTTCCTTTAATAGTTGGAAATTGTGGAAGGATTGATCTTATATGGGCATTAAAGTAGTGCCAGTATACGTGTACGTGTCGAAAAATGCTCAACTCCAAACTGCTAATTTCATGTACGATTCAAGTTGTATTATCATGTTGTGTAGTGTGCCACATGATTAGTTTTTGTGATGTGTATTGGAATGGAAATTGTTTCCTTGAAAAAAAAATCATGAATGCTTTTAAAAATTAAAATAACAGAATTAAATTTTTCGTTATTGAATTTCTTATGTTGGAATATTTAAGTAACAAATTTGTAAAATTCAAAATTTATTTAAGATTACATTAAAAACTAACTTCCATTGAGCAGATCTATCAGTGATAAATCAAGTCACTCTTAACTTACGTTGTGTAAATGAGTGAGTCTTCAAAAAGTGTTTTGTGATTGTTATTTAAAGATTAACAAAAATGAGAAAAAGATGAGGGAAAACTTCACTAAACCAGGTCGAGGCTCATATCCGAAGCTTGCTCGGCCAGAACAAGGCTGCCTTGGCTGCCAAAAGCAAGGCTGAGGAAAAAAAGAAGAAAATGATTTTTTTTTTTTAAAACACAGAAAAAATAAATATGCATCACTAATTTCCTTTGTCTTTAAAAATTCTAGATCTAATTCTAAGCCCAACAGTGGCACATAAAACTTCGGATGAATTATATTAGTAGACTCTGGACTTTAAGACTTGTGTCACTTTGATTTTTGACATTTTAATTGTGATATATTTGATTTTAAATTTTGAATATTGTTTCAATTAAGAACAATTGAAGACACAATTTCATTCTCAAAAAAATAAAAAAATGCTTTATTTTAAGGGTAAAATCGTCAATTTAATAAAATATAAACTTGTTTGACAAAAATAAATGTCAAAAAGTTATTTTTATTTTTACCCACCAAAGATAAAATTATATAAAAACGATAAATCTTTTACATTTTTTATATTTTTATTTTTTTACTAATTTAATTTTTAGTGTGTTTAGACGATGAGCATGTAATAAGTGGTGTTTTTGTTGATGTTTTTGGATAATTATTATGTAATAGATGGTTATTTTTGTTAATAGATATTTTGGGATGATTATTAAGTTTTTAATGTATAATTGATATGTTTGATATATGAAATATTTTTAGTTTTGAATTTTTTGATTTAATAGATCAATTTAATAATGATATCAAATTTATCGTCAGATTTGACTTGAAAAAATGAAAACTAATTTTAAAAAAAAAATTATTTAAAAAAATTATTTCTACCCTATCAAAAAATAAAATTATATAAAAATAATGTTTTTAATTTTTTTCACCAATTTAATTTTTAGTTTCTTAGAATTTTTTTCTAAAAATAAATTTTAAAAACCAAATCAAACAGAACTTTATAATAAAAAGTACCAGTATTATTTATTAAAAATAAGATCATTACATTTCAAACAACATACAAGTTAATTAATACAAAATAAATTATATGACAATTTTGCCCTTAAAATTGACCGTTTGCAAAAGAAACATTTTTGATTGTCCTTGTTTAAAACAAAATTTAAAATTTAAGGTCAAATGTATCACAATTAAAAAATTTGATACAAAAGTAAAGCAAATCCCAAATTAAGGGGCTGTTAGTGTAATGCACACTACAACTTTCAGACGACTCAGATTTGTTTTATTTTGAATAGTTATAAACAACTTTCTTTATTCAAATTAGAATTTTTTGATACCCTGAGAAATAAACTAGAGTTTTCCTATTTTCCGGACATGTTCAACGAAGCAGAGACCTCAATTAAATCTGTGCATCAAAAAAGTCATAAATACACATGAGAGAGAGAGAGAGAGAGAGAGAGAGAGAGAGATTACACCAAACAGGGCTCAGAGGGAGGGATATGTAATCAGGCTTGGAACTAGATTGTAAGCCATATAGTCATTCTTCAGGCTCTCATTACAAACCATGGACAATAAGCACGATAAATATTACACGATATCGAAGTTCTGCACCCTATCAATGAAGTTGACTAGGGTGGGGGCATAAAACAGGATGTCAAGTGAGGGGGGGAAAAAGATTAATCACGTACCAAAAACCCGCTTCAAATGTCATTTTGAATCTATCGCATTGAAGCCAGAGACCAGAAATTCAAGAGAAAGGATGGTGAAATGGCAAACCAGCTCATGAAGGCCATGGCTGTAGCTGTCTCAAACCTAGTACAATGATTTTCTTCACAATTGTTGAAATCATTGCTAACAAGGACTGTTATACCAGCAGCTGCAGATGCTGCAGCAAAAGTAAGCGTTGATGTGATCTGCAGATGCAAAGAAAGAAGCCCATTATTTTAATTCCGCAAATATAAAGAAGTGCATTTCATTCTAATGGAGATGATGGAATTCATCCTCGATAAATCAGTGAGCATTACCTGCATATGGACCTAACCTTTGCATTATTTGCAAAAAAACTGACTGCTCAATGATTCAAATCCAACATACTTATGCTTTGCAGCCAGACATTTTACCATTACACAAAGCAATGCTCCTTTGTGCATGAAATCAGCAAACATAAATGAACAGGACTAGTTTTCATGAAAAGGGAGGTAAAAGAATATGAAATTAGTCTTGCTTATTGTTTAGAGATGCTATATAGAATCAAACAATCAGCAAATCAACTTGCTTTGATTGTTTCCCCACTACTAGAAAAGCTATATATGGAATAATAATAATAATAAATATATAATAAATAAATAACTTAAAATACACGTATTCAACACTCTGTCTAGTGAATAGCATTGGACAATCATGATTCATGATCCACTGGCTGAAAAATTACAGAACTGTAAATTAATCCTATTTTGAGTTCAAAACCTTTTGAACAGGTTCCTAGTTTGAGTGCCACTGCCATTCACACTTGCAATCCTTAAATTGATGGTTATAGTGATAATCCTTCTCCATCCTTGCCAATGCCAACAAAACTAAGGAGTACATAATGCAAGCAATCCTGCCACAGTTCCACTAGTTCAACTTGTTTATTTGAAAAAAGTGTCTACAAATCATGCATGGCACAAATTGAACTCGGGGTTGCTTCAAAATACTTAAACTCCAACAATGCCATTATTTCTAGGGATAAACTTTGTTGGATATCATACCCCTGAACTAGGTTCAAGTTTCCCGTGTAGGTTGAACTCCATCTTCGTTTATTGCATTCCAAACCACTAACCTCCACCCTGCTTGCCAGTCTCCGATAAAATGTTCAGCTTACCTACCATTGACTTTTTTTTCGATTTCTTATTGCAAGAACAGTTGTAAGTCGCGTGAGTAATACACCATTCATTTCCGACTTCATGTATGGACAAAGACTTCAATGTGCAAGCACATGTTTCTACATGATCTATGTGTCATCACATTAGCTTTCACATTTCCCATTTCTCCCTTGCTTCACACTTCCAGATAAAAAAATCCACAGAGCTGAATACTAGTGGACTGATTCAGTTAAATCAACTCATGCAGAGGTAGTAGCTATGGAACAACTACTTGGAAATTGGAAGTAGAACTTCTATTAAGGATCATTTTTTGTTCATAATACACAGTCCTAGTACAAGAAAAACATTCACCTTAAACAATTCCCAAGGTAAGGAGAATCAAATCTGCTTGTAGATTAACCATGAAATATCCCACAAAAAAAGTACCAAGCACAAACTATGTTTCAGTACAAGCATAAAAGGGCCATTAATGTTGACTGCCTCTACCTCTCTCTCACCAACACAAACAAACACGCATGCATACAGACACATGTTGAGGGAGAGAACAGTCTCTTGTGAGAATGCTAAAACATTGACTAGCAAATTGTCTAGTCATGGGAGAACCCTACAACTTTAAAAAAGGATTTTGAGTCTTTCTCTAGCCTAAACTGTTGGTTACACTAATGTGTCCCCAACCCATTACCGTTCGTTCTTGAGATGTAAAAGCAATACACTAAAAGCTCCAGGAGGCACAACTCATGTACACATGCCAAAAAAAGATGAAAAAAATATATAATTTATTTTTTTTAAATGAACCCATCGGACTCCCTACCACCACAAGGCGTCCTAAAAGAGAAAACCTGAAAGCAGCAAAACCAGCCATGAAAGCATCTCACTAACCCAAACAAGAGCACCTCCTTAAAACCTAACAGCCCCAAAACAGAAACTAAGCCAGTAAATCAACAGAATATGTGCTCTTCTAGGATTATCAGCATCATTCAATGACCTTCCAGATATCCTTTCCCCTACTGTACGAAGAACACATTTCCCCTCTTGCTTCGCCTCTCAAAGTTAATTGACCTGTACAAGTTTGAAGCTCTCTCACATTTGACTTAGAACACCAGAACAAGCCCTTCTTCCTATGGTCTTTCTTAACACTCTACCCTCTTTCAACCGTTGGGTTTATCGGCATAAACACCAAGTTGCTTTCCCCTTCCTTTGAATTATTTGAACAATTGGGTTCCGTACCATGTGACCTAACTACTCTTTTTTCTACTTGCCCTAAAATCAAGTGGAGGTCCAAGGCAACTTAAAGAATCGTTTTTGGCACTCAATGTGAGCCCCGCGTTAGAATCATAGCAAGAAGGCCCCCAATTTCTCACTTGACTCATTACCTTTCTCTATACTAATTGCAAGTACACAATATTACTAACAAAATCAAGTGAATTTATAATATGTCAAAACAGCCTCCAGTTGGATGCCATATCAACCCCAGAACTAGAATCATTACTCATGAATAAAGTGTCAATTATCTCATAAATAAAGAAAATGGCCAGGATAACCTAACAATAATCTCCAAGGGCTTGCAAGAATTGACATGGTACCCACCAAGATATGCTCACAATTTTGCTTGGACTCCTCAATAATGTTAAAAATTCTGCAACAAACACTTCCTTACCCCATCTCCAATAGTAAACAAGCTGACAACTTTGGAATTTCGCAGGCACCGCTTCACCAAGAGTGCATGTATATCAACAATGGTAAGCGAGAGACTCCACAAGCTTTGCAGGCCCACAGCTGCAACAAGGTAGCTGACACAAAAAAATATATTATTTGCAACAATCTTTTACAATTTACCACATTCAATTATTATA